CGTGCAATGACGGTTATAAAATCTAGAGGAAGTATAATACTCCAATTCAATGAAGACCGTAGCAGGCACTTATACATCAGTCTGTTGGTACAATTAATACCTTAATTAGTATTAAAATATAAACTATGGTAATATTATATAAATATCCCTTAATTATTCCTATCTCTAAATTGTAATCATTCAAAAATTAAAAAAAAAAAAGGGGTTTTCAACGAAGGCCATTTATCTACCCCCATAAGTAATACATTAATTTTGAGAGAGCGCCACGTGTTCCACTTTTAAAGTAGAAATGATAATACATTCTAAGGTGTTGTGGCCACACGCCAAATCACGAGTAAAATGACCGATCAGTAACACTCCTTTTTATTTTTTTATTATTTTTTTTTTCAGTATTGCTCGGGTCTCAGTTGAGCATTGTCCGATTCTATTTTTATACAGTGCGGAATCAAATTCCTAATGAGCTAATAACTACCTTGAACAGTCTGTTGGATGACATGAAAGTTGTACATGAAGATGCTAAGCGATGTCGCGACCATATCATAGTGAAGTCATGCCTTGCCGAAATGAGAGAAGTGCTTTCCGATACTACAGATATATTTAAGGAGATAGATAAAACTGCAGAAGTCCAATCCAGTGCCAACAAGCCATGGAAACTCATCCTTAATTTGTTTAACAGGATTTCAAGGTTTATGCATTATTATCGAGGAAAAAGGATGGTTTCCAAATTGAAGTACATGACTGTTGAATTAGAAGAAATTCTTGAGGAAGGAAAGCGGTTATTAAAAGAAATTTCTGATGAAAGAACGCAGTCTGGCCTCCAAGACAGATTAACTATGCCTGGTAACATTCTACCTCTGTTTGAATTTGCTATTTTTCTACGTTTCTTTCTTAAAGCATTTACATTGGGAGGGACTCATCATGTTACATAATCCCAATTCATATTATTCTTTTTATTCATTTAATTTGACTTTTTAATTTTTAAAATGTAAATTTCAGATAAAAATTAAACAATTTATATAAATATCAATTGAAAATTTGTTTTGATTACATAAAAATATTTAATAAGAATTATATATAGGGATAAAAAAATAATTGTCAATTATAAAGGTTATTAAATTTTTATTTAAAATTTATATTTTAAAAATTCAAAAATCAAATTAAATTTTTTAAAAATTAACGTAAAAATTATTTATGTAACCTATAAATATAAATTTTTGGGGGAGACTCTCCTCTCCTTTATATACACAGAGCTAATAAAAACTCCTCAAAAGTAACACAAAAAAATATTAACTTATACAATAATGTAATAAAATAAAATAAAAAATACTCTATTTTTATTTGATTATCTCACTTATTAAATTAAAGTTCTTTTTTAATTGTTCTACTTTTTATTTTTGAAAGACATTAAGGTTCTCCTTCGAAAGATCCGCAAATAAGTGTTATTTAATTCACAATTTATTTATCAACTCTTTTGAGCAATAATTATTGGATAATAATTAATTAGTGTATTACTTTTTATTGAACCCCAGAGTACACACCACAAAAATATAATTATTATTTTTACATCAGTGTGTCGGTGCAATTAATACCTTAATTAGTACTAAAATATAAACTATAATAATACTATATAAATATCCCTTATTCCTATTTTTAAACTGTAATCATTCAAGAGAATTTTTGGGTAGAACAATTGGTAGTTCCCCACAAATGTACTCATCTACCCCAGAAGTATTACATTAATTTTGAGAGAGTGCCACGTGTACCACTTTTAAAGTAGAAATGATAATACATTCTAAGGTCCTGCTGCCACACGCCAAATCACGAGTAAAATGATCGATCAGTCACACTCCTCTTTTATTTATTTATTTATTATTATTTTTACTATTATTTTGCAGCAACCTGGTCTGTGTTGCAGCCCTTGCACGAATTTGTCCGAATTTATTTACGTAAATTGCGGAATTCATCAAATCAAATTCCTAAAGAGCTAATTACGTTGAGAAGTCTGTTGGAGGACACGATACATGTGGCTGAAGATGCTGAGCGATATCACGACGACATCATGGTAAAGATATGGATTGCCGAAATGTATAATGTGCTTTATGATACTAATAATATATTTTGGGAGATAGAGTATGGCAATGAATTCGAGCAAACTGCAGAAGTCCAATCCAGTGCCAACAAGCCATGGAAACACATCCCTAATTTTTTTAACAAGATTTCAAGGTTTATGCATTCTTATCGAGGAAAAAGGATGGTTTCCGAGGTGAAGGATATAACTGTTAGATTAGAAGAAATTCTTGGTGAAGGAAAGCAGTTATTAAAAGGAATTCCTCATGAAAGAACGCAGTCTGGCCTGCAACGCACATTAACTACGCCTGGTACTAGGGGTGTTCGCGGGGTGGTTTGGTTCGGATTTTAACATTTTTTAATCCAATCCAATTTAATCGGTTAGTAAAATTTTTAAACCAATCCAATCCACTATTATATGATAACCAAACCAATCCAATTTAAA